TCCCACGTGCCGCGGAGCGGCTGGGCCCGTGAGCCATGGCCGCTGAGCCTGCGCATCCGCAGCCTGTGCTCCGCAACAGGAGAGGCCCCAACAGTGAGAGGCGCGCGTACCACACACACACACACACAAAATAGATACCATTATTCTTCCCATTTTACAAATGAGGAAACCAAGACCTAGACATTTTAAGTAACGTACCTAGGGTCAAACAGCTAGTGAGGAGAAAGCCAGATTCAGACTTAAATCTTTCAGTATGAAAGAGTTTTGTTTTGTTTCTTTTCCCATTTATTCTTTTAACAGATATATATTTGTGCTTGGGATGATAAGGAATAACACAGACAGAGATTCCTAGTCTCAAAAGCTTTACCTTCTTGTGAGTAGAGACAGACAAGACAACTGAAAAATAAACACAATTTCTAATATATTAGTTGATTTCTACCCACACAGGGACACACCAGGCAGGTTATATCTAATAAGTGGACCACGTAGTCTGTCCACTTAGAGCATTGGCCAACACTGAGGCTTCACGAATGGGGGCGGGTGGGTGGATCAGGAACCTGAGGTGCCTAAGCCATTTTGAGAGCCTGCAAAAAATTAGGGGTGATGGCAAAATAAGACCCCACCAGATCTAAAATCCTGGTTCTGTAGATCTGAAAGACAAGTTTGGTCTGGGCAAGAAGCTAATATTTTTAACAGTAGAATAAAATAAAAAAATAAAGATGAGAGTACAAAACAATGGCATTAAAAGCAAATATAAAAAAGAAAATCATCAAAGCCAAAAGGCGGTTCCTTGTAAAAAATAACAAATTGACAAACACCTAGTACTACTGATCATGAACTAATTTGAGAAAACACAAATTGTCAGTATCAGTTCTTATAGACATAAAAAAAATAATGAAAATATATTATGAGCAGCTTTCTGTGAATAAATTTGGAAATTTAAGCAACATGGGCAAATTCCTTGAAAAACACAACTAACAAAATTGACCCCCCAAAATGGAAAAACTAGATCATTCATTGTACGTTGATTAGAGATTGGGTCTGTTTTTAAAAATTAATTTAAAACAGTAAAGCTTTCACAAGTTAACAAAAAAAAGAAACAAAGAAAGGAAAGCAAAGAAGCTAATGGTGGTCGAAGCAAGGAGGGGGTGGAAGTTGGAGACATCATGTGAGCCAGCTCTCAACGTTATGCCTGATCCAAATTCTTCACAGGCCCCAGCATGCTTTCCCAGCCAGTCCAGCTGAGTCATCCTCACTCACCTGGTCTCGTCTTCTGACCAAGAGCCTGTTGGAGCATCAGATGTTTAGATTTACTGTGTGGGGCAGGCAGACCAAAATTCAGATTTTCTGAGACCTGAAGCTTATACACTTGAGGGGAGGGGACTCTTTAAGCAAAAGAATGCAAAGTTAAGGACCGGGTCCTAAAGTTTCAGCTTTCCTTCACTGCCTCTCTGGGGACAGTCGCCAAGCATGGTGAGTGAGCTCCCTGGCTAGGCAGGAAGTCCTGCAGTTCGTTGCCAGAGTCACTCATTTAGGTCTCATGACCATGCTTCACAGTGGGAAGAAATGACTCTCGGTTTATAATTCTTAAATATCGTAGACTAAAGCAGCTTGATGAGCACCCCAGGCTAGCAGTTCAGTAAAATCCTGAAAGACCCTAAGTAAAATGAGGGAGCTGGGTTGCAAGATCTCTGGGGAGTACTTCTGACCTTTAAAATTTCAGAATTCTGGGCCTTCTAGACATCTTCTGGCAAGAGTGATACCCCAGCCTTCTAACTACCTCCACCATGGCACCATTACCCGAGAGGTGGAGTTTTCTATCCTGCACTCCATCCCCCCCACCAGCCCCACTTAAGGAGATTTGGGAGAAAGGCTGTGGCAGGGCCATTTCAAAGCAAACATTATGCCATAGTTCCTTTCTGGTTTCATGGCTCTCTTCTCTCCTCGGCTGCTGTATATTTTTCCCCAAGATAAGGGCTCTCCAAGCTCATGTTTTTGGAAGGCAAACCTTTCTGTGCTCCCTTGCTTTGCTTTGAACTTACTTCCTTTACTCAGAACTAGGTTGCAAACAGGAAGGCAGGTAGGTGGGAATAGAATATAAACTAGATCCAGGCTAGAGCTTCTTTAGATGAAAAGGGCATTAGCTAACGGGTAGACCATCCTTGTCTTTCTATCCTCCCTGTACTCCCAGATTATGAGGCTTCATAAGAACCCATTTGTCTCAGCCTGCGACTCCATCTGCCTCAGACTGTCCGCAAGGATGCCCAGCTTTATCCTGACAAGCCGGCTCTCCTTCTCTCCAGAGAGAAAGGACCTGGGGTTGTGCCATGTGGCTACTCCTCCCAGCAGCCGCCCTGCACCATGGAAACCTGCTTTCCCCAGTAGCTCTAAAAGCATCTCCGGGGATGTTTTGACAATCTTACTACCCTCAAATTGCTAAACCACAGCACACCCTCTCCTGAAGAACAGGAAGGCAGGTGACCCGAGTCTCTAAAGGGGGAATGAGACCACAAAGGCTCAGAAGTCAAGGATGAATGGTATTCCAGACAGCACAGAGTCGGATTTCTCTAAGACTCCGTTTCCTTTTTGTCCAGTGTGGGGACATATACTCACACATATGAAGTGGAAAAACTAATTTAAATCATTGGAAATGACTTTGCAAACATAAACTTGAAATTCTCATGTTTCCCTCCCAGACCAGCTGTGTAAGGTGAGCCCCTAGGAAGTTACCTTATTTGCTTTCAGCAATGAGAGCCATAAGGAGTTATTCATTAGCTTTTGTAGTTCTTAATTATTGTTCTGAAGAAATACTTAAATGACTGTAAGATAGAGTGCCAAATACTCTGTTGTAGGACAGGTAAGGTAATTTTTCTTAGATTAACGCAGTCTTCAGAAAGATGGACTTTACTCTGAAAAGGCCTGTGAGAGGAGACTGTAAATTTTTATCATCCAAACCAAAATTCTTGAAAGTGAAAGGGGGCACTATTAATAATTACACCAAACCACAGGAACAAGCCAGGGCTGTCCTAAAGAATATTTATACCTGAAGCAGAGGGTTAGAGTTCTCAAATGAGATCTATAACTAAGAGTGGCATTTGAAAAATCTCCTAAATCACTATTTTAATAAATAGTTCTGCCAAGTTAAGGCTGAGGCTCATTTCTGTTATCTTCAAAGAGTTCCCCTTTCATCTAGTAGGCTTGTCTAAAACCCGTGCTAACTTGCCATGGGAGTTACATCCAGTATTGATTCAGAGGTGCAGCTGTTGTCTGGAAGTACACAACACTTTTTAGATTATTTGCAAAGAGGCCAAGATGGATTCTGTATGGGAAGTGCTTGAAATGAGTACATTTCAGTCTACAAGAATTTTGATGTTGGACTTTTTCAGCAGAAAGAAAAGCTGTAATAGGATATTTATTGATTATCATCAGAAAATGGTTGCAAGGGAGTTTCTGAACCCTCCATTAGTCTGAACCAAGAAAACCAGACTATGCCCTAAACCATTTCCAGCAATAGATTTATCAACAACTAAAATTATGTACCGTAGCTGCACACATTAGATTTGCATTGGACAGACATGGTGAGTTAGGACTCATTTTCCTCCTAACCCACCTAACATGAATGAGTGGAAATGAGTTATGGAATGGGCAAAAGGCAAGCATTTGAGAACATGGAGCAAAATGATTCTGTATGAACTCAGAGTTTCAATTTCCTTGTATTGGGTGCCAAGCCATTTATCTTGGCTAATTTATTTAAACCTCACAATCACTCTGTTAGTATAAATCCCCACTTTATAATAAAGGAAATGGGGCTCAACGAGTTTAAATAATTTGCCCAAAAGTGACAGAATGAAAATTATAACTCCTAATTCCTAAATCTATGCTTTTCCTACTCTAACACATTCCTTTTGC